TGAATGGATCAGTGTCATCTGGCAAGATGTGGGCAGTGGTATACCCCAGGGGTCAGTACTTGGCCCAGTGCTGTTCAATATCTTCATCAATGACCTGGATGAGGGGCTGAAAAGCCCATTGGCCAAGTTCGTAGCCGACACTAAGATATGGGGTTGTGCAGACACACCCACAGGTAGGCTGCAGATATAAGCAAACCTAGACAGGCTGGCATGTTGGACAGAATGGAACCAGATGAGGTTCAACATAGAGAAATGCAAAGTGCTGCATTTGGGAAGGAAGAACCTGCAGCACACCTACAGGCTGGGCATTGCTAACCTGACCAGCACTACAAATGAAAGGGATCTGGGGTAACAATAGACCCCAGCATGACTATGAGCCGGCAATGCGATGCAGTAGCTACTAGGGCCAATAAAACTCTGGCATGAATCAATCGATGCATCTCCAGTAAATCCAAAGAAGTGATTCTCCCACTTTACTCAACATTGGTGTGGCTGCAGCTGGAGTATTGCATCCAGTTCTTTGCACCCCACTTCAACAAGGACATGCTAAAGCTCAAGAGGGTTCAGAGAAGGGCCACCCATATGATCAGGGACTTGCATGGCAAGCCATACAAGGAGAGGCTGAGGGACCTCGGACTCTTCAACCTAAAGAAAAGAAGGCTGAAAGGAGACCTGATTGCGGCTTACCACTATATCAGAGGTGTACAACAGGGGATCGGTGAACAGCTGTTCACCAGGGTGCCCTGGGGGACAACTAGGAAGAATGGCCACAAATTCCAGGAAGATAGTTTCAGGCTGAACATTAGGAAAAACTTCTTTATGACTAGGGTGTCCAGACTATGGAATAAGCTGCCCCCCAGAGGTGGTGCAATCATCTACCCTAGAGGTCTTCAAGAGAAGACTGGATGGTCACCTGTCTGGGGTCATCTGATCCCAGATGTCTTTCCTGCTCATGCAGGGGGCTGGACCTGATGATCCTTTGGGGTCCCTTCCAGCCCTATGATTTTACGATTCTATGGTACCCTAAGGCTAAAAAAAAACATTGAGCAAGTTAGAGTGATATGATGTGATCCAAAAAACCAACTTGCTTGCAATAAGTTATTTTTTCTTTGCATTTGATATAAAAGCTTGCTGGTAGAGGTGCACTGATATATCGGTTCATATCAGATTCGCAGTGATAAAAGGAAAATTAACAGTATTGGCAGTCAGCTTTTTTTGGCCAGTGTAGCCAATAATGTCATTGATAAATGCTGTGTGCATGCACACAGCCAGGTATGCTTGGAGAGCAGTGTCTTTCCAGTAAGTCTGTGGGGGGGGAAAGGGGCATAGGATTGGTAAGGGGTGTGGGTGGGCAGATCAAGGCCCCCATGGTGAGGGAGGGAATGGGGCAGGGGCAGGTGCTGCCCAGCTGGGGTGGGGCGCAGTGCGGGGCGGAGCCACAGTCCAGGGAGTGCAGGAGGTGAGAAGGAAGGGTGGCTCCCCGCCACTGTATGCACCCCCAAGGGAGGCATGGGGGGCATGTGCCCCCCAGATTTGTTCACAGGGCAAAGGTGGGCTGCCTGCTGTGGGCTTGGGGCCAGGGGCTGTGCTAGCCTGTTCCTGGCAGGGGCTAGGCTGGGCCTGAGCTTGGGGTGGGTGGTGGTGGCATTGGGAGGGGTGTCTATGGGGTGGGCTACAGCCACCCCAAAATTCCCTGTAACTTCCCCTCCCAGTGCCTCCACTGTCCCCCCTGCCCTGCCCCTACCCCACCCACAGTCCTGGCCTAGCCCCCCCACTGGGAAGAGGCAAGTACAGCCCCTGGCCCCGAGCCTGCAGCAGGCAGCTCACCCTTGCCCCATGCACATATGCCTCTCCTGGAGGTGTGCAAAGTGATGGGGAGCCGCTTCCCTTCCTCACCCACCAGACAAGCCACCTGTGGCTCCATCCCATGCCCTGCTCTGCCTTGGCTGGGCAGCACCTACTCCTGCCCCAGCCCCACTCTCTCCCTCACTGTGGGGACCACGGTCTGCCCCCACTCATGCCCCATCCCTCCCCCCACACCCTTTCCCCTCCACAGACTTACCGGCTGGATGCCTCTTTCCAAGCAGCCAGGCTGCATATCAGCTATTGGATCAGTATCGGCCAATATGGCTGGTTAATAATTGGCCATTGGAATTGGAAAAAAACAATCTTTATTGGTTCACCCTACTTACTGGTAACCTAGTACGGTATATGCAATATATTACATATGAAGGAAAAGTTACTTGAAAAGGATATTTTAAGACAGAGGATATATCTGTATCACTCTATTTTGTACAAGACTGAGTATTTTGTACAAGACTGAACTATTACATATTTCAATCCCAGTTTCAATTGTACAGAAATTTAATGTAAGTAGCAGCAATAATTATTAGGGGTGTGCGAAGAGGGCCGTATTCAATTCGGATTAGGATTCGGCCTGATTCAGGGGATAGTGATTCGATTTGCTGATTTGGATCACCGTTACAATTTGCTTTGGCTGAATTCGAATCTGAAGATTCAGTTCTAATTTTGAGAATCAGAGATTTGGCTATAGACACAGCTTTATATGTTTTTCTACATACCTCGAGGTACCAGGCATAGCTCATAAAAGCTGAGATGGGGTGGTGGAGCATCTCGCAGGAGCACGGGGGGCCCCCTGCATACTCAGTGGCAGACTCCCCCCCCCCAACCCTCCCAGCTCAGCAACTGGCCAGGGGGAATTCTGGGTGCCCCCCCAGACCTAGGAGGCACCAGGTGCTGAGCCGGGGGGAGGGCTCCCCTGCGTGCTCCGTGGCAGACCCAGAAGTGGACCGGAAGTGCTTCTGGTTCACTTCCAGGTCTGCCTTCGAGTGTGCTGGGGACCCCCCACACTCCCGTGGGACACTTCATCTGCCCCAACCATTTCAGCATTCACGAGCCAAGCCTGGTACCTTGAGGTATGTAGAAAAAACATAAAAAGCTGTGTCTGTCTGAATTGCCGAATCTCTCCAAATCAAATCGAAGGCTTCCAATTTGATTCGGAGAGATTAGCGGGTTTTCTGATTCAATTTGGATTTGGAGATTCGGCCACTGAATTGGGCCGAATCTCCTCTGAATCAAATCAGTGGCCAAAGCTTCACACTCCCCTCATAATTATCAAATGTCTGTGTTCATTTGACAGTAACTAATTTACGTGCCTTTTCCTGTCAAGACTATTCATAGGATTTAATGTCTCTGTCTGGTATAGAATGAGAGGACTTTCAGTCTGTCCTCCACAAGTTGTACCAAAATGCTTCAACTTTGCTAATGAATGGATAGTTGAAATAGTTGGAAATGAACAGTTTAATATTTTCATATTTGGGGAGAAATTGTACAAAAAAATATACAACTAATTCAGCAGATAGGAAGATAATTTTAGACATCATTCAACCAAATTAGAAATCCTTATTAGCTTCCACATTCATTTTGGGTGATATGAAATATCCAAAAGAGAGAGAACTTTCTAATTATGGGTTTTGTTTTAATCGTGTGTCTTTTTTCATTTGTATGCTTTCTTAATGAAATACAAGATTTTTTTCCCATAACTATACTTAGCCTTTCCCTATTTTCCTGCATCCTGTTACTGTTTTCTTGGATGAAGAAAATAATTCTTACTTTATGGATATATGCAGTGATCCATGTAGACAGATTCAAGGATCCCCTACCATGAAACTGAGCTCATCCTGCCATGTTACTGTCTTCATAAAGAGCAAAGTACTCAAAGAAATAGCAAGGCAGTTCTGCACCCAGAGCAGCTATGATGATGGGGCAGCTCTGGGTATGTTCATCTAACTTAGCAGCCGGGGCTGGTGCCCCTCTTGCTCCCCTAGTAATGAGTTATGCTATGCCCCCCACCCCATTCCCCCTTCCTCCCTCGTTCCCACCCGCTTGCTTCCCCCTCTGCCTCTGGGGGTAATGCTGAAGCAAGTACCTGATCCAGGAAAATGCTTAAATATGCTGGTCAGTTTTAATCACACAAACCCATTGAATCAATGTGTTTTAAAATGAAATGCACGTGCCAGTATTTTTGATCAAGGCCTAAGACATCAGAAACAACCTCTTTCAGAAGTGTAGCTAGCATGTTTCTGTCCAAATGCTGCTATTTTTTTTTCTGTATAACTTGGGATAGTCTGAATTTTTTATTGTAATCAACACTGCATGCTGGCTCTGTGCGCGTGTGTGTGTGCGCGCACGTGTGTGTGTGTGTGTGTGTGTTAGTTATCATCATTAATACTGTGGTTATCCAGTCCCCTTTATTTGTTTTGCATGCTCTGTCACAAATGCAGAGGCAAAAGCTTCAGTTATTTCAAGCACTAGTCTTTTTGGTGGTTTCTGCTATCATTTCCACCACCTGTCTTCAAGAGCATGCTGTGGTCAGGGTCCCTATACATCATCCTTCTGCATGACCCACACCTCCCACCTTAGAACCATTTCAACCTAATGATATTGGATTCTGCTCACTTACTAAAGTTAGTTGCCTCATTTTCCTTTGGCAAATGAGAGATTTGTGATGGGTTCAATCCTGTTAAAAACTCCATGGAAAGTATAGGTGTTCTTGTCATTCCAATTTCTTGTCATTCCAAATCCATTCCAATTGGTGTTCTTCCCTGCCAGTTTCTAGATTTGAGCTTAATAACTAGCTCTGCCACTTTTTATTAATTTACCAGTGGAAATGTTAACTTAAAGTGGGCATTCAAACCCTTTAGGCATACTTGAAAATATGAAAAAAATGATTTTTAACATGTTTAGTGGCATACTCTTTCACACATGCTTGTTTTTGTTGGTTTGCTGGTGGTTTGGAGTGCTGGCAGAGTGTCACAGTTCTAGAGAAATAGAACTGACGTGCTTGTGAGATGCTAACTGTTTACAGCCTTTTACAAGCAATGTATTAAAATTCCAGTGCTATTAGCAAACAAAGTATGTGCTTTACATTTTGGCTCAGTTACACATTTTAAAGATTTCATATAAATGTTTTTCTCCAGGTTTACAGAGGAGTTCACCTAACTGCTCTTGGAAAGGCCCTTTCGAAGATACACCCTAAGTGAGTAAAGAAATTCACATTGCATTAGCTTTTGTTTCCATGTTTTGTGACACTTTAAGTTGAGCTGTTACTTAGTAGGTGCGTCTACACATTTACTAATTAGCTCCTCAGTAAAGTGTCAGTCTACACATGTGCCCTTATTAGGGCACAGTAAATTAATTAACTCTGCTGTAGGATAGTGCTGATCGGAGATGAGTGCTATCCTGCAGCTGAGTAATTACATGCACCGAAATGCATGTGTAGACTGCCTGCTGGCTAGCCCCACACTGTAGCACCCTCATACCCCAACCAACACCTCCACCTCCCAGCATCACCACCTGGAGCCTGAGGCTGACCCCCCAGGCCTCCTGCCAGACCAAGGCTACTCTGTTCCAGCTCAAATTGCTGCAGTCTGGGCGCACATGAAGATGCTGCACGTAAAAAGCATCTGACTCCGGTGCAAACTGCGCCAGAGTTTATTTAGGTGCTTTAGTAGCATGTGTAGATGTGCCCACTGGATGAGAAATGTGCATAATCTTCGACTTTTTTAAAGATCCTTTCTTAACACTAAAAACTAATGTTCTTATCAAAGTATTCATCTGATTAAAACATTGATAGATGTTGCACAGATGCTTTGAATTTAATCACGTAACGTGATCTCATTACAGTTTAAAAAGGGAATAAAAGCTCTTACTTTTCTGTGAGTTAAACTCATCAACTGGAATTGTTCAGTTCAGTTGATCTGCTTAAAGTATTTATATCAGCATGTGTTACAACAGGCCTGTCCAGCTTCTGAGGTATTGGGGACCACCCACCCCATGGTGTGTGGCCAAGCACGGGCACCTGAGTCTCACCTGTGTACATTTCCACTCCTCTTACCCTCCCCTGCTTGGTGCATTGAGCACATGCATGCCCACATGGATGTCCCATCCTATAGCTATATAGCATACTCATGTGGCCCCAGGCTCACCCTTAGCTCCCTGCTCTGCAACATGGTGCACTCCCCTGCCCCTTGGGGTAGGGACAGGAAGCAAAGGCTGGAGGAGGGATGGGGAGCTCAGAGATGCTAGCTACCATTGAAGCTGGAGTGATGTGATGAGAAGAGCAGTGTGCTGGCAGGAACCCATGGTCTGCAACTTAAAAGTTATTGGAGTCTTTAAAAATGTATTCCCCCTGGTCCAATTGCAATAATATTATCATGGAAGAGGATCAGCAGTGAGATGAGGGAAGAAAGTTATCTTTAAAACATAGTTCACATTGGGGAAACCCCCCCCACACTAAATAAAGTTAAGAGTTTTATTGCAAGGAAATTTAGTTCACAGTAATAATACTCCCTCAGATCTATTTTCACAGATGTAAAAACAACACATCTGACTCTACACTATTGTAGTAACAGGGTATTGCAGCCCCATGCTGCCCCTGCCCTGCTGGGATCAGGTTTTGTGGCCTGCATTGTCCTTGCCTGGGCCCTAGGCACTGGGATTGGGCTCTACAACACCTAGCGCACCTCAGGTAGCATGCAGAGCCATGGCCTACAGGGCTGTCCATAGGTGACACTGTAGCAGAAAGTCCCCTTTTCCTCTTGCCTGCAGTTGCTCTCCCCTCCTTAGATATGTTTTTCCTCTTCTACCTTTTCTTCCTTCCTCTTTCTTTCACTTTAAGATAAGGAATTGTGTTTTAAAATTTGTATGTGTGCATTTTATATCTCCCCTTGTATTTTGGTATTTTTATCTATTTGTGTGCTGTGGCATTTGAAGCTTATATTTTATACTCCTCACCTTTCAACTTTCAACTATAAATGTGTTTAGTAACAATGTTAACAAGGGCAGGAGTCAAACTGCCGCTTCCCTATATCAGGCTGGCCCCTGAAAGAGCGAGTGAATCAGTGATTGAATGTGTAACACAGTAGCAGGCAGCAATTAACACCTAGGGAAACTGCAGATCAACCAACAGAAGAACTCAATAGAAGACAATGTAGCAACCCGGACATCTCTAAATGTCACTGATCAAGGGCTAGAAGCCCTGGCCTGAGTTAATCAACGCCAGGGACCAACTTTTGGGCTGAATGTCTCCAGATCGACCGCTCCCAGAGCCCTATTTAAAATTCATCAACGGACTGCCAAACCTGCACGTACATGCAGATGACCCCTGGGGCTGACAGATGCCATCCAGTAGCCACCGAGGGGGAAGTCCCACGAGGGTCAATGACCCCTGGATTGGGCAAACCTAAAAACTGGGGAGTCACCAAAGTCTGCCAAGGACAGATAAAAGCAGTGAAAAGTGACCCTCAGCGGCGCCCTCTTGATCTCCAACTTGACCAGCACCCGACCTGTCCAGCCAGAAGGACCAGCCGGCAACCCCCTTCTGGAGGATAACACCAGCCTCAACTGGCCATTGACGGCAGACTCCAGCGCTTGTAGGATAGGTATACCTGACTCTTGTAGCTTGCTACTGTGTGTGTGCATGTGTGTGTGTGTGGGGGGACGGGACCAGCCTCAAGGTTTATGATTTAACTTCATTACAGTGTTTCAATCCACCTAATAAACCAGAATTTTAAGGATCCCGAGTTGGACATTGTAGCCAACAACACTGTACCAGGGGCTGCATCTGACCCATGGGCTGGGGGGGTGACCATCCTTGGTTTACCTGTGGTATACATCTTTGAGAGCAGTTGCTACACATGATCCAGCTAGTATTAATTTAGCTTTCTGCCCTTTTTACAGTTGTTAGAGATTCCAATGACAATACAAATAGAATATAATAAGAAACCTTTTCCTTATTTCCTTTCATGCTCTCTCTCATTATCATGGCTGCCGGACAACTACATACCAGCAATTTTTAATTTTGTAAAAATAGGATATAGCTCATACTTTCAGCAGGTAGAGCAAGTTTACCAATAGAAGTATCATACAGAACACTTAACTCTTCACTAGTGTAAATGTATATTATATTTACTGTCTTTCTTTCCTACTAAGTCTATATCTTACAAGGAAAAATGTATCCTACAAAAATAGATACAAGGAAGGTTTATCATAATTTACTTCTGACAACATTTTGCCAGCCTGTTAACACTTTTTCTCCCAGCATTCTTACAAATTTGCTTCTACTTTTAGTCATTGTTTTATCAATATATCAGTTGCAGAAGCTAATTGGTTGTTCATGTACTTTCCTTTCCACCTTTTTCCCTTTCTTCAGTAGTACTACGTTTACTCTTTTTCACTTCTGTGGACCCTGTCATGTCATTCATGAGTTTACAAAAATAACTGCTGCTTCTGGTAATTCCTTTCGCACTTTAGGATAAATTTCACAGGTCCCTGATGAGTCTGAACCTATTTAAGCTATCTAGGTAATCACTCAACCATTCTCTTTTTATACCTCTTCCTTTCCTTGTAAAATAATAAATAGGTTTCTGCCATTATTACCCTGTAATTCTCCTTTTTCTTTCATTATTTGTCTTAAAGATCCTACTCCTTTGTACATATGCCTCCTTTGTACATATGCCTACTATTTGCAGTATGTAATTTTTTTGGCTAGCAGTATCATTTGGGGCAGAGCCTATGCCCCCCAGGTGAGGGCATTTAGCGTGTGATGAACCTAACTATCTCACATTTCTTCAGTGGTAGTGAAATGGAACCCTTCCAGCTTCCACCTCTTTCTCTGCAACTTTGTTTTATTTAGTGTTGGTACAGGTGTTACGTGCATAATTTTTAGTTAACACTTATTTGTTAGTTTTGAAAACAGAAAGAAAAAGAAAGTAAAGGTGCACCAATACATCAGTCCCATATTGGATTGGCACCAATATGAGGAAAATTTAGAGTATCGGCAATTAGCTTTTTTTGTCAGATGTGCCTGATAATGTGGCTGATAAATGCCGCATGCATGCACGCAGCCTGGGGGAAGGGGTGGAGGGAGGGAAGAGGGGCACAGAATGAGGCCCCCATGGTGAGGGGGGGAGTGGGAGTGGGGCTGGGGTGGGGTGGGGCAGGTGCTGCCCAATCTGTGTGTGGGGGAGGGCAGGCTGCCACTGCAGGCTGGGACTGGGGCAGTGCCAGCTCTTTCCGGTAGGGGGCTGGGCTGGGCTGTGCTTGGGGTTAGTGGTGACAGCACTGGGAGGGAGAGATGGGGGGGGGCTGCAGCCACCCCACAATTCCCTGTGGCTCCCAGTCCCAGCCCACAGTGGCAGCCTGCTCTCCACTGCACACAGATCCGGGGTGCACCCCTGCCCCCTCCTGCCCTTTCAGGGTGCACATAGTGGCAGGAACCGCCACCCTCCCCACCATGCTTCCTGGACAAGCCGCCGCTCTGTCCTGTGCCCCACTCTGCCCCGTCTGAGCAGCACCTGCCCCAGCCCCACTCCCTCCCTCACTGCAGTGGCCTCAATCTGCTCCCCCACGCCCCTTCCCTCCACAACAGATTTATCACCCTGATGCCGCTCTCCATACTGCAGGGCTGCATATTGGAATTGGATTGGTATTGGCCAATAATGGCTCGTTAAAAATCAGCCATCAATATCGGCCCCAAAAAATCTCTATTGGTGCACCCCTAAAAGAAAGAGGAGGGTTTTGTCCATAGCAGGGAGGCTTAGAGCCTTTTCTTTTGCCCCACAGGATTTGAGCCATTATGATGGACACAAAATCCTGGGGGTTTAATGCATGCCTTTCCTGCAGTGCTTCTCTGCCACTCTGTAGGATGGGCATTCTAAGTGCACTTTGTTTAAATGAAGGGCCACATCCCGGACTGTTGCTCCATCTGTCACACTTTTCTTAATGAAGACTAGGGAGGTCCCATAAAGTTTTCTTTCCTTTTATTTTCCCTAGAGTGATGAATGAATATGGAATATTGAATATTCTCTTGAACATGGAGACAGGATGAAGATAAAACTTAGTTGTTCTCCTGCTCCCTTTTTAGCTAATGTCCCATTAGCTTCTAGGCCACCAGAAGTACCTTAGATTAGTAGGAACATCTTGCAGTTAGTGCAGGGTATTCCTATTTGACCTTGTTCAGCATTGCAGTTGTTCCTC